TGTTAGTGTTACATTTATCATTTCTTTAGAATGCAAGACTCTTCTCGTCGGGGATCGCAACGCAATCTCCGGACACCGGCACCGGAGAGAACCACCGTGAAGAGTAGTAAAAATGAGCAAAACCTCAAGGGTGTTTCTAAGCATCCGAATTATCGTGGGGTCAGAATGAGACAATGGGGAAAATGGGTGTCTGAAATTAGAGAGCCAAGAAAGAAATCAAGAATCTGGCTCGGCACTTTCTCCACGCCGGAGATGGCGGCTCGTGCTCACGACGTGGCGGCTTTAGCCATCAAAGGCGGCTCGGCTCACCTCAACTTCCCGGACCTCGCTTACCATTTGCCTAGACCGGCGAGCGCCGACCCTAAAGACATTCAAGCCGCAGCCACCGCGGCCGCCGTCGACTGGAAAGCGCCGGAGTCTCCCTCGAGCACGGTGACGTCATCGATGACGTCATCTCCCGTCGCCGACGACGCTTTCTCCGACCTCCCTGATCTCTTGCTCGACGTGAATGATCACAAGCTCGATGGGTTTTGGGACTCGTTTCCGTACGAGGAACCATTCTTCTCGGAAAATTATTAGGAGGGAATATTCCGGCAGGAATAAGAATTTTCCGGTGGTTTTCCCGGTTAATATGTGAAAAGGGAGTCGTTTTGTACGTTTTTGTCTTTTTGTTTGGGAAATTTCATTTTTACGTGTGAGTAAGTTTCCAAATGTGTGATGTGTAAGTACAGTTATTTATTTCTTTTCTTCTTTTTGTATAAACATGAATTCACAATTCTTTTCTCCATAATGAAACACATATCAAAATCAAACTAATCTCCAAAATTTGTAAAAAAATTTAGATTGTGTATTTGACCCTTTATTTTTCACATCGTTTAGGTTTGTCAGAGTATGACATAGGCTTTCACTTTACTCCCATTGAGCCGGCAAAGAACATAGGGGTTTCTTCATAATTCCAATTTTTTTAAAAAAATAAAATAGATAAAGTATTAGTATTTACTATTTATTTAGGTTGACAAAAAAGTATTAGTATTTATTTATATCATTTTGGTATACCTCATGCAAGAAAAAAACTATTAGAATTGCATATATATACTCTTTTTTTTTTCTCATGGTTAACACATAGTTATTGACTTTGTATTATTTATTCGCTATGTATTCGACTGAAATGTTGATGGCTCACTTGATTATCAAAAAAAAGAAAAAAAAACGTTGATTTTTTTTTTTTAAACCGTGGGACTTCCGAACCTTTGGTTTATAATCTCTTCGGTATTCGGAGACAGTTTTTGGATATTCCGATTTAAAGAATAACTCTATGTGCCAAAGTAAGTTTGAATCCGAGACACAAGAGAGCCAACCCCTTTGTGTTATCACTAGGTCATCATCTATTTGATCACACAAACGAAAAAAACGTTGAGTTCTTTCTCTCAGATGTTTGAATTTTTGTTTGGGAACTTTGTATTAGTTATTTATGATGTATTCGATCTCAAAATCAGTATCTTTAAAAGTTTTTGAATTGAATAACAAATATGAAATGATTATGTGCATGTAAAATTTTGTAAAGGGCATTATATTTGGTATTTTACTGTATAGTCTAATTGACCTCTTTTATCGTGACGTTTGTAAAGGTAGCTTGTATGATATACCTAAAATACTGGTCTGGAATACTTCAAAAACATGATGTAGTATTTGAATGTTTGATTTATTTTCAGAATATCTCTAAATGAGATACTGATAATCTCTGCATAGTCGAATCGAATATATATATAGTAGTTATTAAATATATGAAAATAATATCAAAAACACAACTAT